CAACCCCTTGTCAGATGTCTATTCGGCGAATATTCTTTCCCATTCTGTAGACTGTCTTTGTATTTTGGTCACTGTTTCTTTGGAGGTGCAGAAGCTTCTTAGTTTAAGATAGTCCCATTTATCTATCTCTGTTTTCACTTGCTCAGACAGTGGCGTGGCATCTTTGAAGATACCATTAGCTTCAATGTCATAGAGGGTTTTGCCAACTTTGTCTTCAATGTACCTTATGGTTTCTGGTCTGATGTTGAGGTCTTTAATCCAATTTTATCTTACTTTTGTACACGGTGCTAGGCAGAGTTCTGAGCCCATTTTTTTGCATGTAGCCGTCCAGTGATGCCAGCACAGTTTGTTAAAGAGGCTTTCCTTACTCCACTTCACATTACTTGCACCTTTATCAAAGATTAGATGATCATATGATTGAGGGGAGATGTCAGTGTATTCAACCCTGTTCCATTGGTCTCCAGTACTGCCTTTGTTCCAGTACCATGCTGTTTTAATTATTATTGCTTTGTAGTACAGTTTGAAGTTCGGGAGGTTGATTCCTCCCATTTTCTTTTTCCCAAGAATTGCTTTAGCTATTCGTGGGGGCTTATTGTTCAATATAAATTTCAGGAGTGTTTGCTCCATTTCTTTGAAGAATGTCATGGGTATCCTTATAGGGATTGCATTGAATTTATACAATGCTTTCGGTAGTATTGCCATTTTGACAATGTTAAGTCTCCCGACCCATGAGCAGGGGATATCTTTCCATTTCCTCATGTCCTCTTTTATTTCCTGAAGTAGCGTTTTGTAGTTTTCTTTGTACAGGTCCTTTACTTCCTTAGTTAAGCTGATTCCTAAGTACTTGATTTTCTGGGGCACAATTGTGAACGGGATTTTTTTTTCATGTTGCTTTCTTCTCTCTCACTGTTTGCATATAGGAAAGCCATGGACTTTTGGGTATTGATTTTATAACCTGCAACTTTACTATACGAGTCTATTGTTTCTAGGAGTTTTTTGGTGGAGGTTATTGGGTTCTCTAAGTATAGTATCATATCATCTGCGAATAGTGAGAGCTTGACTTCTTCCTTTCCTACCTGAATGCCCTTAATATCTTTTTCTTGCCTAATCGCTATTGCAAGTACTTCCAGTACTATATTGAACAGCAGTGGAGAGAGTGGGCATCCTTGTCTCGTCCCTGACCTTAGGGGGAAGGCTCTCAGTTTTTCCCCATTGAGGATGATGCTTGCTGTAGGCTTGTGGTCACGATCACGACCACCATGTTGTTCGTCGATTGCCTCGAGCAGGTGCCAGTAACGTCTTCTTCGTCCTAGCCCTGAGATTTTTTTTTAAAGTGCCATATTCAAGGCTTTTTCAGGGTTAGGAGAATGAGACCCATCATTGTTACTGGTATTTGGCATATTGGGTATACCACGGGAAGTTTGCCAGACTCTGCCGTGTGGGCATGTTACATTTGGTAGCCTGCCAGTTTGACCGAATTAGGAATGAGATAATAAGAAGTCATGTAGCTGAGATTGCAGCCGCATGCTTCTGGAAGCTGGGTTTTATAGTCTCTGGGTCTTGGGTTTTATAGTCTCTGGGTTTTATAGTCTCTGGAGCTGAATGTGATAATCTCTGGATCCTGGCCGTTGTTGGAGTTACACGGCAGTTGGTGGGTGTAACTGTCTAGTTACTGGCAGGTCCAGTCCCAAACTGTACAGGCTTGGAGATCTCAGCCCCGGGTCCCACACACCTGGGTTCCTCTGTCAGTTCTTTTATGCGTGAGGCTCATCCAAGTGTGTGGAGAGTGCTCCCAGCATGGCCTTGGCTGGGCCTCGGTGGTCTTCAGCTGTTGGGCCCTGGTGGAGACAGTCAGGCATAGGGTAGGAGACTCTGTCTTGTTCTCTCCCAGGAGCTGAGTGTGATGATCTCTGGATCCTGGCCGTTGTTGGAGTTACACGGCAGTTGGTGGGTGTAACTGTCTAGTTACTGGCAGGTCCAGTCCCAAACTGTACAGGCTTGGAGATCTCAGCCCCGGGTCCCACACACCTGGGTTCCTCTGTCAGTTCTTTTATGCGTGAGGCTCATCCAAGTGTGTGGAGAGTGCTCCCAGCATGGCCTTGGCTGGGCCTCGGTGGTCTTCAGCTGTTGGGCCCTGGTGGAGACAGTCAGGCATAGGGTAGGAGACTCTGTCTTGTTCTCTCCCAGGAGCTGAGTGTGATAGGCTTGTGGTAGATGGCTTTAATTATGTTGAGGAAGGTCCCCTCTATACCCATTTTGGCTACGGTTTTCATCATAAAGGGGTGCTGGATCTTATCAAATGCTTTCTCTGCATCTATTGATATAATCATATGCTGTTTATCTTTTCTTTTGTTGATATGATGGATTATGTTGATTGATTTCCGAATGTTGAACCATCCTTGCATCCCTGGGATGAATCCTACTTGGTCATGGTGTATGATCTTTTTGATGAGTAGTTGGATTCTATTTGCTAGTAGTTTGTTGAAGATCTTTGCATCTGTGTTCATCAGGGATATCAGTCTGTAATTCTCTTTCTTTGTGGTATCTCTGTCTGCTTTTGGTATCAGTGTGATATTTGCTTCGTAGAAACTGTTTGGAAGAGATTTTGATATTTCAATTTCGTGGAAAAGCTTAAAGAGGATTGGGAGTAAGTCCTCTTTAAAGATTTGGAAGAATTCACTAGTGAATCCATCCGGGCCAGGACTTTTGTGCTTGGGGAGACTTTTTATTACCATTTCAATTTCCTTGATGGTTCTGTTCAGGTATTCCAGGTCTTCTTGGTTCAGCCTTGGGCGTCTGTCGAAGTCTAGGAATTTATCCATTTCCTCAAGGTTTTGATGTTCTGTGGCATACAGTTTCTCAAAGTACTCCCTGAGGATCCTTTGAATTTCTGTAGTTTCTGCTGTAATGACCCCCTTTTCGTTTCTGATTCGGTTTATTAGGGTTTTCTCTCTCCCTTTCTTTGTGAGTTTTGCTAGAGGCTTATCAATCTTGTTAATTTTCTCGAAGAACCTGCTCTTGGTTTCCTTGATCTTTCGGATTGTTTTTTGGGTTTCCATCTCGTTAATCTCTGCTCTGAGTTTTATTATTTCCTTTCTCCTGTTCGGGTTGTGCTCCTTTTTTTGGTCCTTCTCCAAGCTCTTAAGCTGTGAGGTTAGGTTACTTATGTGTGCTCGCTCCTCCTTCCTGAGGAATGCTTGTAGAGCTATAAACTTTCCTCTTAAGACAGCTTTTGCTGTGTCCCATAAGTTTTGGTAACTCGTGTTCTCATTTTCATTCGTTTCTAGGAATCTTTTGATTTCCTCTTTGATTTCCTGTCTAAGCCACTCGTTGTTCAATAGCACACTGTTTAATTTCCAGGTGTTTGATTTAGTTTTCTGTTTTTGTATGTGATTTACTTCTAATTTCAGCGCATTATGGTCTGAGAAGATTGTCAATACAATCTCTATCTTCTTAATTTTTTGGAGGCATGTTTTGTGGCTCAGCATGTGGTCTATCTTGGAGAATGTTCCATGTACGCTTGAGAAGAATGTGTATTCAGCTTTTTGTGGATGAAGTGTCCTGTATATATCTACTAAGTCCCTTTCTTCCATTGTCTCCCTCAGATGAAGTATGTCCTTGCTAAGCTTGAGTCTGGTTGATCAAGAGTGTTGAAGTCTCCCACTAGTATTGTGTTGCAGTTGATGTCTTTTTCCAAATCTATGAGTAGTTGTTTTAAGTACTTTGCTGGTCTCTCATTAGGTGCATATACATTTATTATTTTAAGTTCTTCCTGTTTTACAGATCCTTTGATCAATAAGAAATGGCCTTCACTGTCTCTTATGACCTTCCTCACTCTGAAATCGATGTGGTCTGATATTAGGATGGCTACCCCAGCTTTTTTATTGGAGCTATTTGCCTGTAGAATTGTTTTCCAGCCTTTGACTCTGAGTCTGTGTTTGCTTTGACTATTGAGATGTGTTTCTTGCAGGCAGCAGAATGTTGGGTTCAATTTTCTAATCCATCCTGCCACTCTATGTCTTTTAATTGGTGCGTTTAGCCCATTGACATTGAGAGAGATTATTGTTATGGGATTTCAATTTCTAATTTTTTGAGAATCGTCCATACTGTTTTCCAAAAGGGCTGGACCAGTTGGCATTCCCACCAGCAGTGAAGGAGAGTACCTTTCTCGCCACATCCGCGCCAACACCAATTGGCCCTGTTCTTTTGGATGTGGGCAAGTCTCTGTGGTGGGAGGTGTTATCTCATTGCTGTTTTGATCTGCATCTCCCTGATGATTAATGATGTAGAGCATTTTCTTATGTGACTTTTAGTCATTCAGATTTCTTCTTTGAGAAAGTTTCTGTTCATTTCGTCGCCCCACTTTTTGATGGGGTTGGATGTTTTCTTCTTGTGGAGTTCAATCAGTGCTTTGTATATCTTAATATCAACCCCTTGTCAGATGGGTATTGGGTGAATATCCTTTCCCATTCTGTAGATTGTCTTTGTATTCGGTTACTATATCTTTTGAGGTGCAGAAGATTTTAGTTTAAGATAGTCCCATTTGTTTATCTCTGTTTCCACTTGGATGGTCAGTGGCATGTCATCTTTGAAGATACCGTTAGCTTCAATGTCGTTGAGGGTTTTGCTGACCTAGTCTTCAATGTATCTTATGGATTTTGGCCTGATGTTGATATGTTTCATCCATTTTGATCTGACTTTTGTGCATGGTGTTAGGTCGAGGAACTCTGACACTTATTAATAAGTCCCACACTCTTGGGACACTTAACTTTCTTCAGTATCCTTTTTTTTAATCTGAAAAATTAGTGTGATAATAGCTCATGTTTTATGGACTCCACAGGTACTTGTCAAAACCAAATAAGACAATGGCTACCTTTCATATTTCTTTTTTAGTTATTTGAATAGTTTTATAGTGGTAGTTTTGAATGGGCAATGAACTTTAAAATGATATACATTGATGGCACACAGAACAAGATTCATTATCTATTCTTATGGAATAAGAAATAGTTAATGAATTTTAAGTACTAAAATTGGAACAATACAGAGAAGATTAGCATGGCCCCTGCACAAGAATGACATGCAAATTCATGAAATGTTTTATCTTATGGAAGTAAAATAAGCTCTTTAAAGAGTACTGCCACCCAAGGCAAGTAGAAAGTGAAATCAGTTATCTCAAGATTATTTGAAAATTAAATAATGCCATTTTTCCAAATATTTACAGTTTTTACAAACTCCATCATATATTTTAAATTGAAGCAAGCTAGAGTAAATAAGAATGCCTAAAATCAGGAGCTGGAGAGATAGCACAGTGGATAACGTGTTTGCCTTGCATGCAGCCAACCTGGGTTTGATTCCCAGCACCACCAGGAGTAATTCCTGAGTGCAGTGACAGGATTAACTCCTGTGCATTGCCAGGTGTGACCCCTTTCCCCCCCAAAAGCATAAAAAAACCCTAAAATCATTATTTTTAAACTTTTCCATTTATTTGGCACCAACATTATATCACACCTATTAAAAATAGTTTCCCACTTAAAAATAATATCTCGTGCTCACTTCAGCAGCAGAAATACTAAAATTGGAATGATACAGAGAAGATTAGCATGGCCCCTGCAAAAGAATGACACGCAAATTCATGAAATGTTTTATATTTTTATAAATAAATAAATAAAATAATATCTCACTCCATAAACCCTTTTCTCATTCTTTTTATTTATTTATTTATTTATTGAATCACCATGGGAAAGGTTACAAAGCTTTCAGGTTTAGGTCTCAGTCATGCAAATATCAAACACATTTCCCTTTACCAATACTTATTTTTTACCATGAAGAACCCCAATAAAACCCCACCCCCACCCCTCCCAGTCCCTGTAAGGCAGATGAATTCTAGTTAACACTCTATCTGCTTTGATTAGATTCATTGTTTCAATAAAAGATTCACCACTATTATTTAGAGTTTACCTCCCCTCCAAATCAGACATGCTGAAAAAGCATTGTGAAGTGATTTGCTTTCTACAGCTGGGTTCAAGAATTAAATGTTGGTTTTGGATTTCTGCTATTTTACTTATTGACCCTGGAAGTATTTCTACTGAAAGTCAGATAGTTAAGAAATTGGTTTCTGTGCTCTGGAGTCGTGGCCGTGCTGGAGAGCCACTCGTTGGGGGCAACTGGTGGCCTCGGTAGGGCATGAAGGGTGGACCGGAACGCCCCCCTTCCCATGAGGTTTTAGTCGCCCCCACACCCCCGGCTCATACCTGCTGTCTACAAGGCTCCCATGCGCCACCATCTTTCTTTCCAGAGAGGAGAGGGCGACTGGGACAACACCCTTTCCCCTCCGGACAGACATGATGGCCTGGATTAACACATAGTCCATTCACTTTTCTGCTCCAAGCTGCCGGGTTCTGCATTAAGTCCTTTTGCTTCTGGGGCTGTGTCCGTGCTGGAGAGCCACTCGTGGGGGGCAACTGGTGACCTCGGTAGGGCGTGAAGGACGGACTGGAACACCCCCCTTCCCATAAGGTTTTAGTCGCCCCCACACCCCCGGCTCATGCCTGCTGTCCACAAGGCTCCCATGTGGCCGCCATCTTTCTTTCCAGAGAGGAGAGGGCGAATGGAGCAACACCCTTTCCCCTCCGGCAGACTTGATGGCCTGGATTAACGCATAGTCCTTTCACTTTTCTGCTTCAAGCTGCCAGTTTCTGCATTAAGTCCTTGTGTTTCTGGGGCTGTGGCCAGGCTGGAGAGCCGCTTGTGGGGGGCAACTGGTGGCCTCGGTAGGGCGTGAAGGACGGACCGGAACGCCCTCCTTCCCATGAGGTTTTAGTCGCCCCCACACCCCCGGCTTATACCTGCTGTCCACAAGGCTCCCACGCGGCCGCCATCCTTCTTTCCAGAGAAGAGAGGGAGAATGGGACAATACCCTTTCCCCTCCGGACAGACATGATGGCCTGGATTAACGCATAGCCCGTTCACTTTTCTGCTCCAAGCTGCTGGGTTATGCACTAAGTCCTTGTGTTTCTGGGGCTGTGCTCCAAACTTAACTCTGATTTTCAGGGAAAAACGTTGGGTGGTTTACTTCCCATTGATCAGTTTGTATATAGAGAGATGTCGCGCGGCCGCATAAGCGGCCGTGCGGTTTTGAGGAAGAGTCCTAGTTCCCACATACTCGAGCTGTGCTTGTAGAGGCTTCTGGTCACCGGGGTTCCATCTGGGGGAGGAGGGATGCGGTACCTACCCCATCTGGGACTTCCCGATGATCTTGGCTCTTTTTGGAACCTGTTTTTTTCTTTTTCTCCGGGAGCTGTGGGTCCCGCCCTCCATGTGGCCCTTCTCTTCCGGCTGTATGCTGTCCCTTTTCTCATTCTTACCTCCATCCAATTCCTTCTTTTCTTTCTTGTCGAAGACAATGTTTAATAACAGTTTTATGAACAAAATGTAGAAGCCACTTTAACTTAATATTTTAGAGCTTATACTGTTGTGTATATTATACCTTTTTGAATTCATTGCTATCCAAAAAGTATTTTCCTTAATTTTCCTAAACACCTTTTTTTCCAATAAATGATAAATTGTAACACATTTATTTTATTGGAGCTCAGGTAGCATGGTTACAATGGCATTAACTTTCAGAGTTTTGATGAACAAAAGGACTGCACCTCCCTACTACCAAAGTGCCTAAGTGCCTCCATCACTGTCCCTGTGTCACAAATCCACTTCCTCCTCACCCCACCCCCCATTGCTTAGTAATCTCAGTTTTGTAATCAAAGACTAAGAGTTTGTTCTCACTTGATACTGTCTGTTCCCTTGTTTTATTTCTCTATGTGCCATCTGGTATTTGTTCTCCCTCTGACTTACTTCATTTATCATGATGCCCTGCAGTTCCACCCATGTGGCAGCACACTGAAAGATTATATCAATTCTTGCAGCTGAATGATATTTCATTGTGTATGGGCACCACAACTTTTTACCCAGTCATCTGTTACTGAACCTAAGGGTTATATGAATAAATTTGCAGGTATGCAGTCATGCTTTTTTTTTCTTCTGAAAAGCTCTTGAAGCAATGGTATCTTGAGAGTTATGAATATACCTAGCACAAGAATCCTCATTTTTAAAACCATTCTTCACTAAAATGCACTATCCTGGGCATGGGAAGAGGTATATAAAATGAACTAATAATATCTTATAAGGAAGTGCTCACAAAAAAATGTTGTTTTCATGCCAGGAGGACATCGGAATTGGCTTTAAGAGTTGCACATTGAAGGCAAGAGAAGAGAAGAGAAGGCCAAAGAAGGCCAGAGTATAAGTAAAGTCACTTTTTTTGCATAAAACTAATCCCAGTTTGACCCCTTGCATTGCATATAGTCCCCCAATCACCACCAAAAGTATTTCTGAGAACAGAGCCAAAGATAAACTGTGGGCACTGCCAGATGTGGCCCAAACTCCACTCAGCCTTGAAAAAAAGATTTGCACATTTTCCAAATCTATGACAATTTGAAAACCAAAATGCCTAAAAACAGTAATGAATAATAAACAATTATAAGGGGGAAAATAGTAAGCCAAAGTTTTTATTGAGTCCTTATGGATTACAAAGCTATTCATGATTGGATTTTAGGCATACAATGTTCCAAAACCAATCCTTTTGCCAGTGCCCCTTCCCTCCACCAAGGTCCCCATTCTCCCTCTCACTCCCACCCTGCTTCTGTGGCAGGCACCTTCTCCCCCACCCCATTTTCTTTTAGGTTCTGTGGTTTACAGTACTGTTACAGATAAAGTATTATGCAAGTTTTTACATCTCAAAAGAAACAATGACCAGAATACATAGACACTCCACAAACTGCGAGTAAACATTTGCCCAGCACTAATCTTAAAAAAGTTAATACCCAAGATATATAAAGCACTGTAGAATGTTACAAGAAAAATATGCAATCCTATAAAAAAATTATAAAATAGAAAGCATGAATAGAAAATTTTTCAGCAAAGGAATACAAATGACTAAAGGTAAATGAAAGTGCAAATCAAAACAATAAGGAATCACCCCATACCAGAGAGATTGGCACACATCAATAAGAACAAAAAACAGCATGGTGTTGCAATCCATAAATTTTACCACTAATAAATACATTTAAAAAATTGAGCTTCCAGATGACCCCACAATACCACTTCTGGGTATCCCAAGGCTGCACCAAAAAAGCACAATAGAAATGACATCTGTACCTATATGTTCATTGCATCACTGTTCACTGTTCCAGTCAAAATCCGAAAAGAACCCAAGTGCCCTACAATAGATGACTGGTTAAAGAAACTTTGTTACATCTACACAATGGAATACTATGCAGCTATTAGGAGAGATGAGGTCATGAAATAGGCTTATAAGTGCATAGACATGGACATGTGAAATGAGAAATGAGTCAGAAAGAAAGGGACATGTTTAGAAGGACTGCACTCATTTGTGAAGTATAAAATAACATAACACAAGACCAACACCCAAGGACAGTAGATAGAAGGCTCAGGAAGATTGGTTCATAGTTGGAAGCTTGCCTCACAAGTGGGCGGGGAGAGGACAGCTGGAATAGAGAAGGGATCACTAAGAAAATGATAGTTAGAGGAATCAGTCAGGATGGGGTATGTGTGTCAAAAGTAGATAAAGGATAAAACACGATAACCTCTCAGTATCTGCATTTCAAACCAAATGCCCAAAAGTAGAGAGAGAGCATGGGGAATACTGTCTGCCAATGGAGGCAGTGGGAGTGTGGGAAAGGGGGGTATACTGGGGATATTGGTGGTGGGGAATGTGCACTGGTGGAGGAATGGGTGTTTGATCATTGTATGATTGTAACTCAGACATGAAAGCTTGTAACTATATCTCAAGGTGAGTCAATAAAACTTTAAAAAATAAATTAAAAATAAATAAAATACTGTCTCTGTCCTCCTGTTCTTCATTGATTTGCTCGAGCGGGCCCAGTAACATCTCCATCGTGAGACTTGTTGTTACTGTTTTTGGCATAACAAATACGTCACGGGTAGCTTACCAGGCTTTGTTGTGCGGGCAAAATACTCTCGGTAGCTTGCCAGGCTCTCCCAGAGGGGCAGAAGAATCAAACTCGGGTCGGCCAT